TGTGTGTGTGTGTGTGTGTGTGTGTGTGTGTGTGTGTGTGTGTGGGCTTTCGCGTGCGCGCGTGTGTGTGTGCGCGCGTGCGTACATTCGTACGTGCATGCACGTGGACCGTAGCGCCCCCTGCATCGCTGAGCTGCCCGCCGACTAGCGGAGCGAGTCACGTGTTAGCGCGCCTTTTACGTGCCCTTGACTCCTGAAGCCAGCTCGCAGGGGCGTTGCGAGGGGAGCCATCTCTACAACGCCTCATTTCTCGCTAACATAAGCTGCCGCCATCAGTGCAACGCCACGCCTTACTACATCCACACTAAAACCCTATACATCCGGCAATGGTTTATTGTTACCGGCAGTCGAAAACGTGTTTTTTGACGAACAGCGATTTTTTGGCGCGGCATTCGCTACTCCGCAGCACAGCTGAATGTTACGCGGTTTATCGTGTGTTCCCCGCAGCAGCGGCTACTACGATTACATGCGTACATGTTGCACAGCATATAGAGCAAGCGTGATATAGAGTGATACTGCTGCCTCATTACAGCAGCAGCTTCACTGAGATTTACAGCTTCTTCCATCGATGGCATGTGCCTCTTGTCTCCATCTAGCTTCTCTAGTGATTTCCAGAGTAATTCCTGAAGAGCCGCTTCGCATGGGAAGCTAAAGTAGGAGTGACATTCTACTTGTTATACAGCTAATGGGATAAGAATGATGTGCTTCTCATGCAAAGCTCACTGCTCCACCCTTTTCCTATTCTTGATTTACCATCCTCACCACCCCCTGCATCACCCTCCTCCCTACTCCTGCCCCCCATCCTCACTACCCCTCTCTCTGCACCACCCTCCTCCCTACTCCTGCCCCCCCCATCCTCACTACCTCTTTATCCTCCTCTTGCCCCTGCTCCACCTTCTCCTTCTCCCTGCTTTTCTTGCCCTTCCCTCAAATCAAGCTCATATGTTTAACAAACACCATGATATAAGCAGGTAGAGCGATAGAAAAAGAGAGGGAGCGAGAGAGAGAAAGAGAGAGATAGAGAGAAAGCGAGTGAGAGAGAGAGAGAGAAAAAAAAACGAGAGAAAAGAGGAGGGAGCGACTCACCAGAGGAAGTCGCGACATATCGAGCAGAACGTCGGCTGGCGGAAGAACTTGGCGACGAACTCGTGTCCGCGTACGACGTGCACGCGCGGCTGCTTGATGGCGCCACGTCTGCGCGCCGGAGCCATCGAGCTCAGCTTCTCCTCATCCGTCATGTCCATGGAGTGATTCTGCGGCACAGGTGAGTGCTCGCGCTGATTGCCTGAAGCACAGGTGAAGACGCAGGTGAAGACGCAGGTAAAACACGCTTGGGGCACAGGAAAGACACAGGTAAAAAAGCAGGTAGGGAGCTGGTCACACACGGGTAAAATAAAGATAAAACGCTAAATTAAACACAGGTAAAACACACTTGAGACACAGGCAAAACACACTTTAGACACAGGCAAACCAGTATGAAATAGAGAAACCTCACGTAAAACACAGGAAAAAAACACAGGAACAACACAAGCAAAACAAAGGTCAAACAAAGGTCAAACAGAAGTATGACACTTGTTGGACACATGCACTGCAGGCGAACCTAAGCAAAACACAGGAAAAATACAAGTAACACGACAAAAACAGATAAAGCACAGAATACATGCGAAACACGTAAAACACAGATTAAACACATGCAACTCACAGATAAAACATATATAAAACATAGGTAAACACACAGGTAGAACACAACTAAAACACATACACATATTAAAAACACAGGCAGAACACCGATGAGCGGTGTCACTGATTACCTAAGGCACAGGTAAAATAAAGGTAGCAGAAAGGTAATGCCATACGAATCGCATAGATTGTACACTTATTTGCCACCGCAAGTGATGGTTACACAGTCACGCAACCAAGCAATGTTGTTAATACGGTGACTGGTAATCCACCAATCACAAGGTAATTGTACTGCCTCGTATCCGACTAATCACAGTAAGGCTATGGCGATAGATTCGAACAATAACTTGAAGTAATTAACTTAAACTAATCAGGTAAAACTAATCAACTTGCACAGTAACTGGGGATTCCAGGATGAATTCCAGCCAGCAGAAAATTCGCGACCTTATCCAAGGATTTCATTAAATCGTCTAAGGAATGCTAACTATTTATTTCGCGCACTGGCTCTTAGGAATAATTTCATTAGGAGCACGTTAACTATCGGGGGCTCTCAGACACGTGAGGTCTCACAGAGCTAATTATTTTTATGGTTGCGGTTAAATATCGCCATCTTTCTTCTGAACCTTCTGACAATCACGCAACGTGACATGGTGTGATACGTTATTTACCTCATATATAAGTGATTCGTCAAATCCCAAGCAAGCACGTCTGTCCCACCACCGTACCACGCACGGCTGCCCCCACCCCCGGTTAATTACACCGCACAATGTACAATACAACATTCCTTCCTTCCCTCTCGAAATAATTCGTGTCACCACGAAAATACAGTTATACATAAAAAACATTAAAAGTTAAAAACGTTAGTCTAAGGCTGCAACATCAAACAGTGTCATGACGGTGAGGTAAATCCTTGGGGTCCGAGAAGGAATGGAAAGTCCGTTTTTGAAACGAGTTGAGGGGGATTTTGTTGCAGCTGTCTAGTGAAAATGAGCGCTTATTTTCGTATCACAGGGGGGTTTCGACAGACTGCATCGGTACGAACAAGGTATGGAAGGCATGAAAGGGGCTCTGGCATTATAAGCTCGGGCGGATCGACCATACAGACAATATTCAGAAATAAGTCCTCTCTAACAGAGCAGTGAACGTTTACGCCGTTTCCCTGTATTCGTCTTCCTAGTGTGGAACTCACGACGTAACGACTCGGGAATGTTTTCCACTGGTTCCCATGAATAGGGCTGCTGGGGGCAATGAAGCCATTTAACTCTATAATGCTTCATGCCATTGATACTTTTACAGACTACTAGCTTTATCAACGGTAAAGTAATCAGCCTGTGATGAGGGACGCGTCTGCGTGCCTGCCGCCGGTGTAGAGGCATCATCCTGCGGTGGAGACGCTAGATCCGTGTTATGCGAGAGACTGGAGGGAGCATGTGGGACAGGTAGCTGTACATGCTGAGGGTCCTCCTTAGGATCGCGAAAAAGTCGCAGCCGGTTCGCATGAATCATTGCGCTTAGCTGTTTATCCGTCACGCATTCTCTCAGTCGGTACGTGTGATTGGGCTAACGCTCCATTAGGAGTGTTCCCAACTTTGAGATCGTTAATGATTAATGGTTAATGATTAATGATTAATAATCCTAACCCTAACCCTAACCCTAACCTAAATGACATTAAACCACAAACTAATATATAACCATATATATATATATGTGTTATTATGACCATTAATGACATTAAAGTTGGGAACACTCCTAATAGAGTATCACCCTGTGATGGGGTCCTAATTGCGAGATATAGAAGGGACCCCTCCATTTTCTCTGGAGTTTGGCCGACTTACCGACGGGTACTCTTGGATCATAGCTTCAGGACGTTGGCGTCTCACTATGCCGCTTTATCTGTGATATTATGTCAACGGTAACCCGACAAGTGAAATCTTACAGCTAATCTAACGTGCTTGTAATTTACAATCAACTTTACATATAGGTCGCACACATGCAGGTATCTCCCGGGTTGACCAATTAATCGTAATCGGTCGGTTAGGTTGTCAACTTGTCACGACCACGCGTCAAGACACCGACTACGCGTTGACGCTGCGATGACACATGCGATAGCTGTATTTACCGTTCTCTGGGAAGTATCTGACATGTAGCTGTAGTCTTCCACATGGCTTCATATCCAACTAGAGAGAGAAACAGATTAAATCAAAACACAATATATATTACCGCGTTGCATTTCAACAACAATCTCAAGATTAATCTACGAACAGCCGGCTCATCTGAGCTAATTCTTTTACATTGCGGACACGATATCGAATCAAATCGTCTCCGTCGGTTAAGAAAATGAAATAAATATGATACAGATTTTATGTGTAATGAAGGACTAGCCAAGGATACCTAAGTCAATCTTCCTTCGATTTCTACGATTACATTTCGTAAAGGAAACATATGAAACATGAACTTGGTCACGTGAACATCAGCAGCAATTTCTATTTCGACATTCATTTCGTAGACTGTCCCTACGTATTTCTAATTATTTGGTGGAGCTAATGAAAATGGAACGAAGAGCCGTCTATGAATTAGTTGGTTACTGCGCCGCGCACCCGCACGGGCACGCACACAACAAACACGCACGCACGAGTCCACTGCACGGGCATGGCACACAAACATGCACGCACGAGACACGCACAGGGGCACGTTACACAACACGCACGCAAATGCGCACACACGCGCTCGGGCAGACACACAAACATGCTAGGCACCTGCGCACACGCCGCACACGCACACAACACGCAGGCACACGCGCACCGCGCATCCAACACACATCTCTCATCACCACAGGGCAGCAAGAAGCCACGCCTTAATCTAGTAACGATCGCGTGGAAGCTGGGAGTTCGGGATGAGGGATGGAAATAATAACGCGCGGCGGTCAATGAGGGTCTGTAGTGGCTGGGATCCGGCTAGCTGGGCTGGCTAGTAAGTGGATGGATTGTGGCTGGATAGCGGGTGGCTGGTGTGCGGTGGATGGATCGGCTGGATTGGATGGATTATATGGATAGATGGCGGCTGGTCTGGGATTGCTGGATGGCTGAGGCTGGCTGGCTGGGCTGGATGCCAATGAATGGATGGATAAATGGATGGATGGATGATGGCTGGCTGGTTGGATTGCTGGATGGCTGGCTAGTTGGATTGCTAGATGGCTGGCTGGTTGGCTGGCTGGATGGATGAATGTATGGATGGGATGGCTGGCTGGCACTGGCTGGGCACCGGTGGTGGCTGGACTGGTCCTGGATGGCTGAGTGGTGGCTGGCTGGTAGCTGGCTGGATTGGTGGAATGGATGGCTGCCTGGCATGACGGTTGGGCTGGATGGCTGGATGACTTGGGTTGGCTGGATGGCTGGATGGCATGTGGCTGGCTGGCTGGATGGCTGGCTGGCTGGCTGAGTACCTAGCTGAGTGACTGCCGAATATAGAGATATATCTCTATAAACGGCTCTGTCATAAACCAATCAGATTTGACAGGGACATATACACGCGCTGTGCAGCCCGAGATATTAATATTATATTTATATTGAATTTATAAAGGAAAGTTCAAGTAGTTATGGGCGTGTTAGGCGTGCTTAGCATGCGTACATTGCCGTGCATTCGTAGTAGGTTGGTTGTGTTTGCATGCGCGTTTGTGTGCGTGCGGGTGCGTGTTCGTGTACTATTTTGTGGCGCGAGAATCTATGGTAAGCGATGCGTGAAGCTGGGAGTTACGGGATTGAGGAAATAATGACGAGGACGGCGGCGTCAAGAGGGTCTGTAGTGGCTGAGGATGCCGGCTAGCTGGCTGTGGCTAGAGTAGTGGATGGGATGGATTGAGAAGATGAATGGCATGGGCTGGCTTGGGTGGATGGATGGTGGCTGGATGTATATATGGATCGATTGGCTGGCTGGTTGGATTGCTGGATGAGCTGCTTGGCTGGCTGGTGGATGGATGAATGGTGGATAATGGATGGATGATGGATGCTGGCTGAGTTGGAATTGCTGCGATGCCTGGCTAGTTGGATTGCCTAGATGGCTGGCTGGTTGGCTGGCTGGATGGATGAATGGATATGGATGGATGGATGGATGGATGGCTGGCTGGATGGCTGGGTGGCTGGCTGGCTGGATAGCTGGCTGGATGGCTGGATGGATGGCTGGCTAGATGACTGGGTGGCTGGATGGCTGGATGACTGGGTGGCTGGATGGCTGGATGATGGCTGGCTGGTGCTGGATGCGGCTGGCGCGTCTGGCTGGCTGGAGAGTACCTAGCTGAGTGAACTGCCGGAATAACTTAGAAGTTATATTAGCACTCTATAAACGGCCTCTGATCATAAACCAAAATCAGATTTGTTGAAGGGACATACACGGCGCTGTACAGCCGAGTATT